TGCTAGCGCCAATCCCCCTTATCTTCGCTATTGCTTGCTCGAACTTTTTACTTCGGATTTTCATCTCTTGTTTTTTATCTTTTTTAGTAATTTTTTTAATGTATCCCTGACTTTGCGCCCAACTGCAGAATTTATGGCTTCCATTTGCAAACAAAAATTGCTAATTCCTTTTCTCCAGACGCGTCTCTAGAAGTTACGCTGATGGTGAATCGCGTAACCTATCCACAATTCATGCAGTTTGTTATCAGAAACGCACACCTTTTAAAAAAAGTTAGGATTAAATTTAGAAGTTTTAGAAATTAATTTCTCTGTGAGAAAGTTATTTGCTGAACAAAGGGGAGGATAAGGGAGAAGGAAATCAACAGGCATGCAGTAAAACTGCCACTTATCTCTTTACGTATCAACAAAAACACTTTTATTTTTCACTTTTTCATTTGCAAATAAATGGTGTAAATGGAGAATTTTCACTGGATGATGTTGAGAGGAGCGGTTGGCTTGACATGAAAGCAGCTGTTTGCTGCCCCCACTGGACGCTTCCGGACGTTTATTTTTCCTGCAAAAGTGCTCATCTCTGACCTGAGGCAGCTGCAACATTCTTGAATTCAATAATTTGAATTCTTTAACAACTCCATGACTTGAAAATGCGCTCTGTCTCTTATATGTTTAATTTCGTTAAATGAATCTCACAGAAGTAAGTCCGTCACCAGCTTATTTTCATTAAATTTTTCACTGCAGTAACTTTGAAAGCGGTGAAAAAAGATAGCCCCTCATCAAATTTCTAGGAATCAGTTCTACACAAACACTTTCATCCCCCTTATTGGCTTTGAATCTCGAACTGAGTTTGGTTCAGTTATTCTCGATTTTTGGCTTTTTTTCTGCCTTAAATTGTTTGATGGAAATTAGGCTGCAAAATCATTTTAAAGCATTGCGTCCAAAAAGTAATAAACTAACCGCATGCAAACTGCCCTTTTGAGGCATTCTACCTTTTTCGGCCTTCTTAGCCTCTTTTTTCTGGATTTTTTCCCATTTTGCAGTCATTTTAGAAGCGTGATCAGCGGCGACATGAACCTCTTCTTTCTGCAAAACTTCCTCTTCCGGAGTTTCTTCATGAATTGCAGCTGCCTCTTTCTCGCCTGTAATTTGTTCCGAATTTTTATTGCGCTGTATGAACACTTGACAACGTTAGAAGGAACTTCTCACGACCACTTTTTCTGGACAGTCCACTTCGCGGCACTGTTTTCACGTTAGGCTGAGTTGCTGTTAAAAACTTATAACTGAGGATCATTCTTTTCCTTGGAAGTGTCGCTTTTGCGAGTGTGCAAAAAAGCGTAACTGCTAATAAGTGCAGATAATTTCAAATGCGACGCAACTTACGCCGCAGTCGCTCAAATTCTTCTTCCAGTTGTTTACGTTTCTCTTCAGCTGTTTCTGACTCGTCCTCCAGACCAGCTTTCTCAAACTGCTCCTTCAGATTTCGTGCGGCAATCTAAAAATACGCTTGCCCGTAAAGCAGCAATAAGAACCTAACCAAAGTTTCGGCATTTTTTAATGCGAAAATTCTCCTCTGTGACGACAGCACTCGCGCTTAAGATACCTTTATATCATCCAGATCACTGGGTCTCCCGTGTTTCACCTTTTGCTCATTCTCCTTACCAATGTTTGTGAATTTCTGCATAAGATTTTTCACATCATATGCATCCTCGTCCATCGCTTCATCTTCTGCAATGGAGGCACGCTTTAAGAACAATCTGCATAAGTGCTGGTATGCACCAAGGCTCGGCACGATCAAGCGTTTTCGCGCTAAAATTTTCTGTGCGAACACAAATGCATGTAGCATCAGAAGCAGTGTTTTGCGTTTGTAGAGTGCCTGTGACGTTTGGATGTAAGGTTACAAATGATGACAGAGTGAAATTGCAAAGTCAGTTAGGGTAGAGTTACGCCGCATTGCGTGACGGGTTAAAACTTAGCTGCAATCTTTTCGTTCTGGAACATTAAATCAGTCTAAGAATTGGTCAGGAGTCAAAAGTTAGAATAAAAACTAAACTTGTAAAATCACAAGTCCGGGATTTCAAAACTAGCACGAATTTAGATCTAAAATCGTAGGTTGAGATACACATAGAGATGTAAGTTGAATTCTGTTCTGTTGCCTCGTAAATTATCAGTGAGACTGGCTTTAAAACTTCAATTTTGCGTCTTTTTTTCC